TACGCTAGTTGCAGTCTGTAATAAAGTCTTTATATTATTTGTAATTGTCATTCTTATGAACATTAAACTAAACCTATTAGATCTTTCCCAAACCTTCATTTCATTAACTTGTTCTATAGTACATTCATTAGTCAAGTCTATAGGCTTTTCAAATGTAAATTTCACAATGCTCTAACCATTCTAAATAATTTGATCCAAAGAGTACAAGAACACTAGAAGCATATGAATGTATGGGTAGAAGCATATGATTAAGCAATGCTAAATCAAGATCTAATACACCCAATGTAAATTTCACATACTCTAACCATTCTAAATAATTTGATCCAAAGAGTACAAGGACACTAGAAGCATATGAATGTATGGGTAGAAGTACCATTGCAAAAATATAGAACAACATTAATGCTTTGAGTTTATCAAAAATTGATAGACTATTGATATCATCTATATTATACCTTTGGGTGAAATATTGACATATCTAGTGTTCACTCAAGAACATTTATGGAGACTGAAACCATCCTTATAGAATGGTGTTGTTACCTTTAGATATACAACCCTAAACTGCAAGGATATCCAAAACAGTATCATTCTACCCATCACATAATTATTTAAAGTAGATTCTCCTTTAGGATTATCTAAATCTCCTAATTATGTGTGTCATTGTGAATATTATTTTCTTAATATCATTTAGGAGTGATTCCTTAATATTATTTTATCAATCATTGGTTTAGGTCACTTTGGTGGCCACAATAATATAAAATATAATTTAAAATGTCCTATAAATGATAATTTTTTTATTATAATTTACATCACAAAAGCTTATCATCCCAAGCCATTTTGGTAGTTACAAGTCAGATAAAACCTAGAGAGATGAATTACAAATAATATTCATAAAATTTCTTTAATTTATACTAAGTAGTTCAATAATAGAATAACAACTATAATAATTATTAAATATTAATGCTAAGCAGTTCAATAATAAAATAACAACCATAATAATTATTAAGTATTAATATTAAGTAATTCAATAATAAAATAATAATAATAATTATTATTAAATATTAATCAGTAAAATAAAACTCATATGATAATCATGATAACATATAAATCATGCTTTCATATGAAAGTTAAACATTATTTCATAATTTCAAATATATACATGTGAATAAGCAAATAAATATCTAAGAACAATAATTAGATTTTATTTACCACATGTATAATCAATAATTTATATGAGAAAACTATAAAACTAAACTATAATTTATATTTTTTTAATCAAAGATTAATTCCAATTAAATAGTCAAAATATAATCATGATTAAATTCAATCATAATTATAATGAACCATATTTATCAATTTTACAATTGAGAGTATAAATTAAAATTCTCAATTTCATAAGGGTAAAATTATAAATATGTTGTCAGGACATAAATTGGAATTACTAAATCTATAAAGGGCAGAACTATAATTTGACAAAACTCTAGCCTCGAGGGTAAAATCATAAATATGACAAAAACCCTAATTTGCCTGCGCTGCCTACGCGTGCGATGCTGCCGCTGCCCGCGATCGTTGCCGCCATGGCGCTAATATCGTGGGGCTGCCACTACCTCTGTGTGCGGCCGCTGCAACGGTTCCTACCCGCGTGCAACAAAATCGCTGGCTGTACGCAGTCGAAGCGATCAAGGAGGATCATTTATGCATCGAAACCAAAATAATAGATTTAATATATTTAATCTCAAGAACCTAGGCTCTGATATCAATTGTAAGCATAAAAATCTGTAATATGTTAAGTTAAATATAGAAATAATCTTTTATACCAGGATTGAAATCAAATACTTAGATCTAGTTTAACGATGCATACCTTATTAGATCCTTTCTCCTCTTTTCCTATCATTTCCTTTCAAAGGACCACCTTTGATGGTAGAGTTGAGGAAAAACTATAATCCTTCAACTATGTTCGTTGTGAGACGTACACACGTTCAGTCCCTAGAGGTCCTATCTATTTATAGGCGAGAGTAGAGGGTCTAGGATAATATATTAGGAGATTTCATCTCATCAAGGTTATCTCTTAAGGAATCATACTTTAAATCGACTTCTATTTTATTGGCTAAAATATTTTATCAGAATCCAATTAGTTATATTATATATATCTTATCTAATTATAAAGGGTCACAAAATCTAACACGTTCATTATATATCAATGCTCTTTGAACAGAGAGTTAATCATACATATCAATTGGTAACCTCGCATCCTGCAACTCAACTCTAAAGAAGTAATTGTGAATCTAGCATGACATCAATAATTTAAGTAATAAAACTGTAATCAAATCAAATATTTAATTTAAAAATTAATTTTTATTTCCCTACTTTTCATTTAGGAAATATTAATCTTATTTTCTTGTTTGTTATTGTGAATTAGGAAACGACTATTAAGTATTCTAAATAGGATGATATTATATTTGTTAATATATTAAATAAAAATAATTCATATTAAATAAATATAAAAATTAGAAAAAAAAATTCTTTAATGAAGGCTTACCACCTCCTAAGAGGGATTTAGAGAGAGGAACGAGGAGTTACATTCTATTGAGGAGAGATATGTTTTTCTATCTTTCTAAAAAAATAATTTTTTTATTTTGATTCTTTAAATATTAAAAATTTTATTATTCGAAAATATTGATCAATCTTTTAAATATCAAATTTTTTATTGTTGCATTAAAATCTATCAACTAAAGTTTTTATAATATTATTGAATCCCTATGTAAGGTTTTTATTTTTGGATTTAAAATGCTAAAGTTTTACATATTTTATGTTTTAAATATATGATATTTCTTGGTATTACAACTTATTTTTTAATCTTATATGGATTAAAATTTTCTTCTTAGATTAAAATATGTTATCTAAAATTATCGATATTCTTTGATATAAAATTTAAAATATGTTATTTCAAATGGCTTAAAATTTATTTGACTAGATTAGGTTGAAATTATATATGTATTGAAAGTATGATTTCTAATTCTTATTAAATTTATAAGGTTATTTCTTCGTATTAAAGCTTATCTCCTAACCTTATTTTTAATGTGTTGTTATGTTTTTTTTTCTTTATATATAATTGTTAGTGAATATATATTGTCATAATTCAATATAAAATTGAATAAAAATTGAGTTGAAATAGCTTGCAAGTCAAGCCTAACTCATAGGTCAAGTCATAGCCCATTGGTTAGCCCCACTCAATAGACCAGACTTAGCTCGTAGACTAACTCAGCCCAGCCATCATGGGCAATCACATGCGATGCACATGACCAGTCCACAGGCTAGGCCAGCTTGGTGTGATGCATGCATAGTTATGTAGTATATATGACTAGTATATAGGCTGCCCTAGCTTAGTCTAATATTATTATTGGATTTGAGTTCAAACATTAATTGAATTAAATCAAACTTAATTAGCCTCGATTCAGGATGATTTTGAATTGATTAACTTATTCAAGTCAGTTTTACCTAATTTGAACCTAATCTAGTCTAAATTAGTCTTAAATAGTTTCATACTAGTTAAATGAGGATTAAAGATCGGTTCAACTATGTTTTAATTAAATCATTTAATGTGATTGATTGAACTAGGGTTCAAGTTAATTGAGGGTTAATTAGTAGTCTTTGATATGAATGATATTTAAAAAAAATATTTTTGATGTGTTAATTCATCCTGACATAGATATAATCGGTATGAGATAATGTTATTATTGAGAGGAACGTGTCTCCACGGTGAGGGACGTCACTCCATCCACTGTTGGGAGAATACAAACTCGTCCCGATAAAGCTTTTCTATCTACTAGTGAGGAAGTGCTCCTTCAAGTATTTAATATATGCCAATAGGATAATTGATTTTTGATCATGTATTCATTTTGAGTTAATTTTTGAGATTCCTACTCAATATTGATTTTTTTTATTTTTGATTTTCAGAGCAACCTCTCACTAACATTAAATGAGATTCTAATGAAAATCGAATATTTCTTTAATGTTAGGTAGAGCCACTTAGATAATTTTTCTTATTAAAAGACGAAGGCACCAACAAGATTATGATTAGTTGGAAATATAACATGCAAAATACACCCAGCTCGTGAAATGCAAGCAACGACTACGATTGAGACAGCACAAAATTTGTGAAGAAACAATGCAAGCAACGACTTCGGCACACAATTTGTGGAGTAGGGGGAATAGGCATTGGCTACACGGAGGAATATCCATAGAAATCATGTGTTCGACCTGCTCGGTCGGAATTGGATTCAGTTTCTAATAAGAAAAAGGAAAGGAAGAGGAATGTAACTGAAGAAATCTAATTCGCTGTTATGAAGAAATCTAATAGGCTATATTAACTCGTAGTGGCGTCCTTGTGAAACCTTCACGGTCGGAAATGTACCTTTTGGACAGGCGGGGATGATGGATAGTCTGTCTCTCTGTGCCAGGGAAAGAGAACAGCTATTCGCCTTCCTCAAAATGCAATCCTTTTAGACATCTCGACATTTCCCTTCTTTCGTTGGCCTTCTGTTTCTTCTTCAATCCTACTGGTCGGTCGGTTGCTTGGTTGGTTGTTCTCACCAATCTGATATGGTGTCCTCAGAACCTGGTTGACCATTTAGCCAAAATCTTCTCCAAATGAAGAACCAAGTTACACAATCCATTCTCTGCCCCGGGAGTTCATTACTCGATTTGCCATCTCTCATTCTATCCAGATAAAACAGTGTGAATATTAATTAATGAATGCAGGAGATACATTTATTCATGTTTTCATCAAAACAACAATATATATTATATATATATACATGTTTATGTATATGTATCAATGTCCAAATGATACATGTTTCATGCTACTCACATCCTCCAAGTAACTCTTCTGAGAAGAATTAGACACAAACCAGTCACTTATTTCAAAGGCAACCCGCGCCGCCCCCCCCCACCCCTCCCCCTCAAAAACAAAAAAAATCGCACAGCATTCAGCTAACATGGAATGAAAGAAATCAAACTCAAAAGACCTTTACGGTCTCAAAGCACACCAAGAAGTGTTCAACCCCCAATAAAAGTCATGTAAGAAACCACCATGGCCTTCCACTGCCACTGCAAAACCTTGTTGTAGGTACAGCCAGTCGATTCCCGACGTATAAATAAGGGAGCTGTGAAGGCTCAAACAGATGAGTCTTTTTGCTAATCCTTGATATGAAGAAGCAAAAGCAGCACTCAGTTATGCGCCGGATGAAATCAAGAGGATACAAACCCAATCAACTGATAGCAACCACGCGGAACTAGGAGAAAATCCAAGACCAGATTTTGTATAACAAGGCAAGAACAAGCATTGCTAACAGTTGATCCACTAAGGAGATCGTCTTTGCTCCACAAGCAGGTTCATGAGACAAAACCAGAGGAGAGCACATGTATTCGATGGAGAATGAAGGACTCGAATCACCTGTCGGCTGAAATAGTATCTCCCCAGAGGCACTATTTAGTTCTCCATTGCACCATTCCTGAATCACAGGAGAAAGCTACTCAGTAGACAATTTCTACCTAAATCATCATACTTCTCATGGTCGCTGCTAGATGGGCAACAACCCTGTTTTGACCATGACTATTCTGGTGAGAGATTAAATCGACGATCACAAGCGAAATTACCTGAAGTGGTTTACCGAAAGTAACTAGTATGTCGCCGGCCGGCATCCCAAAAATAGCAGAGCCCTCTGACCGACGGATGCAAAAGTCTTCATCGTATCCAGAAATGTGGAGACTCAAAGCATGAGAGTGAAGCGATTTTGGGTCGCTCAACTCCCTCATGTTGTTTCTGCTATGATGAGAATCATACTTTCTCAGACAGAGGACTGACTGAACCTTGCCAATTCTCTTGGAGGGTGTTTGACTCGCAACATGTTCAGAAAGAATCTTGGCAATGCACTCCCCAACGGTTTCCATCCTTGCAGCAACATTCTCCATTGTATCCCTGAAAACAACACCGCCGTGTGCCAATGAAATCTATCTTCCACTTCATGATAACAAAGAAATGGCTGCGAGAGTGTTTTTTGGAGTAAATAAAAATGCTGTTTTTGTGGCTCTCTAAATCCTGTTGTAGCCTGACTAAATCTGCTAATATCTTTCGCTTGGCTTGCCCTGGACTGTGCGTTGTCCCCAGGGGCTTTGTTCTTTCTACTCTTCTGTAAAACGAATTTGGCTGGGCGTCCACACCCTTTTCTTGGAACAAGCAGGAAGATAATGTTCCAAATTGCAGCTTACATAAGAACAAGAAGGTTACATTCCAATTTGATTTTTACAAAAGAGCAAAGTAGAAAAAAAAGGTTGGAGAAAGTTGCAAAGATTTCAGAGATATAATCTTGGGATGTCTACAAACACACTGAATCAGAGATGAAGCTTTGCAGATCACTCTTATAGTTAGCAAGCTCTCTTGCTTCTTCCTGTTTCTTCTGTACTCGTTCTCAATTATTTATTTTTCTTAGAGAACATATTTTTTTTATTATCTTCCTTCTTTCCTTCTGTTTGTTTTACGTATTATTTGCTCATTTCAAACTTATTAAATAAATCCTAGTATTTTTTTCCCTGGATAAGCTAACCAGAAATAAAGAAGAAAGAAATATATATCATTTTGCATTGAACAATGATCATGAACTGGGAACATGATTGACAATCCATTGAGCTGATCAAGTAATATGTGAAATCTCTATGCATCGGATTTATCAGTTCTGGGAGAAGCTGGAAGGCTAGGATCACTACAAGAATTAGTCTCAAAAGACGTCAAATGAAAACAAGAATAACATCAAAGTAAAAAAATAAAATATGAGAGAATAAGAGAGAAAAATAGGAACCGAGGGAGAGAGACCAAATAGGATGACTTGGAGAGGCCAACAGTATCCAAGAATGGAAGTAATTCAAGTCAATAAATTGGCTTTTTCTTAACATGACATTGTTGTATATCCTTGTAACCACAGGCACCAGACCAAGCCACTACGATCCATTTTGCCGATCACTAAAATGGTAAAAATCTGTCCAACGGCACTCGAGCCACAATGTCGAGAAAGACATGGATCTGGAATCCATATATCACAATCATATGATTCTGAACAATCATCGCAAAAGCACCTTGCAAAAAGAAAGTGTGGAATTGATATGTGATAGGAAGCCTAGATATGTGACACATTACCTAATTCTCTTAGTTACCCTTTTTAATTGCATTAACAAGGCAGGAACCATGCACATTACGTTGTCAAATAAAGAGAATTATATAAATAGTTTATTTCAGAATCCTAATAGAACTCATAGGTATGACCATATGATCCAAGTCTTAACTTTTTATGTGGCTAGACCAACAGAAGGAGATGTACACATAAATAGATCAGATATAGTTGCGTGAGTGTAATCATATGATATATCCAATAACTACAATCGTATCATAAATATTTCAAGCATTAATCATCTCGATCAATGGCAAAATATGACGATCATAACACAATGAAAGCTTTATAAAGATAGCATAATTGGTGTTAGAAAGAAAAAACACATGAAAGACATCAGAATTTTAAAGTTGCTCAAAAGACCCATCATAAAATTTAGGCTTTGCATAAATATTTCAAGCATTAATCATCTCGATCAATGGCAAAATATGACGATCATAACACAATGAACTAATTACAAAATACCTCATGTAATCAATCACCTTTATCTTGATTCTTATATTTTTATAAGTTACATTAAGATATCTATAATTATGAAAATAAAATATTTAATCCATTGTTATTTCTTTTTAACTTTGCATAGGGATCTCAATATTTCACTTTCATAAATATAAATATCCTAATATAACTTTTAAGAATATAGAAATTGAAACATTAAAAGTAACTAATTATAAGAAATAATCTATAATTAATCTGAAAATGATGATGATCAATCCATTTTAATCTATACTATGCTGGCCCTTTTTAGAAGAAAACAAATTTATTTGGTAAGCCAGGCACCAGTTTTATTAATTAATAAGCAGCAATATTGGATCAATGCGTGGATTTCGTTAGGTATTGCTTTGATGATCAATATATCGCACCTGAGGATCCGATAGGAATTGGGCCACATCCGCTGGAGGAGCCGCTCCGTCTCCGGGCTCCGCAACCGATACCAATAGAACTCCTCGCCGACACCATCCCTCCGCCCGAACCACCGCTGCCCCAGCTCCCCCTTATTTTTATCCGCCTCCGACGTCGCGAACAATGGGGCACCAGCCTCAATAGCCGCCCTGGCTTCCTCGACCAGCGACGTCTCCTCGCAGGCCACGCGAACCGCTCCCACTTCAGACGCAGCCGCGAGCACCCTCCGTATAACCGACTCATCGCCGGATACGAGCGATGTGAGGTCAACCTCCGGCGGGACCTTGAGCGGCGACCGTGACGGATAGTAGGATCCCGGGAGTGTGAGGTCGGGGACGCGGAGCGAGCCATCAAGGTATTCAGAAAGGACTTGATCGTCGACAGCGGCAGATCGCAGGCCCTTCCCGGTGGCGATCGGGGTCGGAGGCGGTGCGCGGAATCTATGGCTCCGCGCCCCCATCGGGTTCGTCGTGGTCGTTGCCATCGAACAGCCAAGCGATCTCCCAACGAACGTGAGAGAGAGAGAGGAATTCGAATTCCTCGGTCATAAGTAGAGTGGTCCACCAGGTGCAGCCGTCTGATTTCGAGATGGACGGTAGAGATATATATATATATATATATATATATATATATATATATATATATATATATATATATATATATATATATATATATATATATATATATATATAT